CTCTTCCAGCACGGGCATAACTCTACTATTGATTTATTCTACCTTTTCTGGCAATAACTTTGATACAATCAGAGCTGCGAGAGCAATTATTGGTACATAACATTATGATCTGCCATTAACCTTCTGTGTATATACATTTCATAGGCCTGCATAATTCTAGAGTAACGGACACGCTTATGGTGAAAGCAGCATCCACTGCAAAAGGCAATAAATTTTACATGACTTGTCGATGCTGACGTATTACATAAAACCTTGCAACATGAACAGCCTTTTATGCATTTTCAAGGAGCTATGGAAAAAATGGGTCAAACCGTGTTTACTGAAAACCAAAACTGTGAACAATCGAAGAATTCTCTAGTAGACAATGGTAATGAGAAATGAGACTGCTGTTTTCCATACACTAGTGCCGTAATGTTGTGTTGAGGGCTGTTTCCACCAAATAGGCACGCAGCCAAACCCAAGAAACCATCATCGTTCTCAAAATACATGATCTTCGCCACTTGAACCATTTAGTATTCTGTTTCGGTGCTTGGCACAACCTGACAGTTCGCTTAGTGCTTATGATTCTAGGGTTCTGAAAATCATACGAAAATTTGCCTTTAAGGACGTTACGGTGTTTGAATCTCTTGTGATCATGATCTAATTGTCCGGCTTTTGAGGATCTTTAAACAGCAGCATAGCTGATTGAGTTTTACCAATATTCATTTGTTATTCAAGTTGGTAGTATTTGAGTTTTTTACTTATGGAGATAAATAACAAGAGGAACCTTAGACTCGGTTCCAAGAAAAAGTGTCAATGGCCCAAAGAAAGACCTCAAAATAGGACGAGCTGAAGAAGTTATTTTTGCATCAGTTTGAATATGAATCACAGAAACTAAAAGTTTATGGCAAAGTCTTGCTGAGGCCTTCATTCAGCTGTGAATCGAAAAATGATGACGATGATGACTTAAGGTGATATGCAGGATTTATCGGACGGTGCTCAAGCTGTAAACTTTCACCTTAACCTCAGTATATGCTGCTTCTACTGCTTCTGCAAGATAGGGTTTTGAAATCATAATCTCGATTTTTAGTAAATCTATACATCGCTATAAATTTTTCTATCCTTTTGCAAAGTTTGTACAGAATTCATTACCTGTAAACGAAACTTTAAGGCTGAAAGATCAATTAACATATGAACCAGGTTGAGTACACTGACTAAACCTCAATTCATTATCATTCCTCCTTCAAATTTTAACGATTTAGTCCACCGTCAGCTGCTGGAAAAAATCACCGTCCAAGCACTGTTTTTGGAAATTAAAACAGTATAATTTCGCCAAAAATGAAATACATGTATGCATGTATAAAAGTGTATACCTGTGACAGCATCATAGAGAGAAGGGGTTGTTCAATTAAGGTAGGAAATACCGGCCCTGCAAACTATTGTCTGACAGCCTGAAGGCAAGTGAAGCAGTTCGCAACTGCAGACTGTTACATATATCATGGTCATGAGGGTGAACGTAATTCGGATGCGGATGAGGGACATGTGAAGTAAATAAGGTAAAAACATAGTCGTCTTCCAGTAGGACCTGCAGATAAAACTTTGCGCCAAGAAAGATACTGATTCCAACACACATGCATCTGCCTAACAGACGTGGAATACGTGAATGCTGCGAAGGTAAGATAAGTTGAATAGCCTCAGCAATCGGACTAAAGGGCAGTATTGCACCATTACATTTGAAACGACGATTAATTTTGGTTATCATTAGCTGAAATAATGTCAGTTGTTACGGTATACTCCATTTTAATGGTTTTGGAAGCAAGGCGAAAGTTCACCATTACAACAGCCTCACGTAGTGAGTACGTACTTAGTAGTCAGTACGTCGGCAACACTTTCATGATCTCGTTCAAAATGGAACGAACAAATAACGGTTAGATAAAGTATTACCTACAAAGTACGCACAGGATGCCAAACTTTAACCTGCATTAAAAAAGCCACATAAGAGTAGCACGCATAGGCTGTTTCCACCAGCAGAGATTTTGTCAGTTACATAAATCATTCGGTAATACCATAGAAAGTACCGTTAGATTTTGTTCTACGATTTACCTACTAGCCTACTTTTACTAACTGCTGGTATGGGTACTTCACACTAAAAGGGTGGTTCTGTAACCATCCAGAGAATAATCCGTCCTTACCGGTATAGACAGACCAATTTGCATTTCAGTCCAGAGAGTTAACGTGTGGTCTTCACCACGTCACTGCCTAAGCCTCGGCCTATATTAAAGCCATGAAATAAAGTTAAACGTGCAGGAGACACTGCTGAAGCCTAGTAGTAAGATCCGCTTGGTAACAGTCCAGTAAAATTGCGGTATTAACGGCATTAGGTACGAACTGAACTGCGAACAGAATTCAGCATATTCCGGAATGACAGATTACCGCTCTGGTTGGTAATAGTAGCAGGTACCAGCTACTTTTCCGCGTCAACATTTCGGCATCGTAA